TTTTTTTTAACTTTCTTTTTTTTTTTCCTTCTTGACAAGTATCTGTACAACATTATAGTATACAGTTGACATGTTAGTGAAGCTTTTGTTGTGTGTATGTAGGAGTGCATATTTGGTTGATTATATCCATCATAACACATTTGTATTTGAAGGTTGTTTTGATTGAAGTCATTTAGTTTTTGTTTCAACACTTTCATTTCATATTTTTGAAAGAGTTGTCATTGTATTTTCTAAAAGCAGTCTCTCTCACAGGGCTGTGGTTTTGGTGCTCACTATTATATATATTTCCTTGTTATACGGCTTGTATGTTCCTGATTGGGAATATCAGATTCCTGTTGCAGCATCTTCCTCAGAACCAAAGATATTTTCAGTAAGTTCCTTTTCCTTTGAAATTATTTTCCTACAAGAAAAGGACTTGAGTAAAGGAAGAGTTCAACTAAAAGTGATATTTTATTTCTTTTATTTTCCATTCTCATTCAAAGGTTAAATGTGGAGTACGAGGTAACACTGAACCATGTTGCAATGCTGTTGGAATGATTGATCGTAAATTACTCGGTATTCAACACTTGTATAGGAAACCAGCCTATGCAAGAACAAAAGTAAGTGATGAGTCAGTTGTAGTTGCTTATTGTGTTTTGTTCAGTCTTCCCACCAATGGTTTCCATTTTTTATAGGAATGTAGCATCAACTCACCAGAGTCAGGTCCATTACCTTCTGATGCACCTCCATGGTGTCAAGCCCCATTTGATCCTGAAGGGCTCTTGAGGTTTGTTTATAATTTTTTCCCAATTCTTTGGATTTTAATAACCAATAATCATAGAATGCACTCATTAGGTACTGGTAGGTGGTTTGCTAAGTAATACAGTAATAATGCATCATATGATGTATTTGATGATAATGTGACCATTACAAAACATTGGATATTAAGACATGATGTGTTTTAGTTTCATGTCTTGCAAGTGACCTTGTACTTTTGTTGTTGTAGTTCTATGATGGCCATTGTTACCTGCATGGTTGGATTGCACTGTGGGCATATCATTGTCCATTTTAAGGTGTGACATTTTCTGCATGGAAGTTTTACTTTTCTCTTCTGTTCGTGAAATTGTCTTGTTTCAGTATTTTATTCATGCTGTAATGTGTAGGAGCACAGAGACCGAATCCGTCAATGGATTATGCTTTCTTCTTGCCTTCTGTTCTTGGGCCTTAGCTTGGACTTCTTTGGTAAGTTTTTTTTTTTTTTTCCTGGTTTTTTTCTTAGGCACAAGTACCATGGTAGTTGCTGTAGAAATATCACTTATAATGGGTTCATAGTATCAACATATATAAGCTTTCCTATTGTAGGAATGCATGTGAACAAGGGTCTTTATACGTTCAGTTTCATGTGTGTCACTGCTGGTGCTGGTGGGATTCTCTTTACTGGAGTTTATGTGCTGGTAAGATACCTGGTTTTCTCAGTTTGAAGTTTTAAAAATTATTTTTGTTCATTTATTTGCATTTTCTTATATATATATATTAATTCAATTATATCCGTCAGTAACATGCTTGATATTTCATCCACTGTCATGGTAGGAATGATGTTTTTTGGTTGATTTGTTTCAAACCTGCTAACAATAAAGCCAATTTTCACAGGTTGATGTGTGCGGATATAGGTGGACAACTATGGCATTTGAGTGGATAGGGATGCATTCATTGATGATTTTTATCCTTCTAGCATGCAACATCCTGCCAATTCTTATACAGGGATTCTATTGGAAGCAACCGCAAAATAATGTGGTAAGTTGTCTGCTTCCTACATAGAAATTATTTGCCTAATTTTCCTTTTCCTCTGCCATGTTGATAACAAGTTAATACACCTGTATGAGTAATGTAGTGTCACCTCATTATTGAGAATGAAAAAGGAATTAAGGAGAGGATTGGTTATTAACAGATGGTGGGAGAAAAATGAGTGCAGTGAACAGATAGGGAGAGACAGGAGAAATAGAAGAAAGATTTAAATATTTATAGGAAATTAGGAATTACTGTAAATGAAAACTGTTTTAAGTCTTATATTTTCTTTTCTTGTCTCTGCCAGCTAAGCTTGATTGGGGTTGGAAGATGAAGGTGTGGCATGGTAGACTTGCATGTCACAATTCAAAAACCATGCAGAGGTTTTTTGGGAGAGAGGAAGAGGGATAAGATTTTCCGAATTTGCAGTTTAGTCCATGATCACGTAGGTTATGCCTTTGTAGAAATGGAGGTTTTCTTCTCCGTCCAACGACCTACTTTGGACCTTTTGTATTGGCATATGTAGTAAACTTTTAGAATAAAAATCATAGTTCATTCTTTTGCATTATTTTATCTCTGAGAATATTTGAACATTCTGACAATGGAGGTTTATATTACATTATTGTCATTTGGTCATGAAATTTGCTTCTACCTTGGACTTGGAGTCACAAACTGGAAAAAGACGAAAAAAAAGGAGTTGGAAAGGGCAAATTTACCAGATGAAGGTAGTAGTACATAAGTATTACGTCTCAAGGGAAAAAAATGATCTTAAGGAGTTATAAAAACCCAGAGAGATATAATCAAATGAAAATGAAAGACTATACATAAACCTGCAATGGATTGGAGGTGTCATGTTTAGGTGGGATGTGATTTAATTAAATTAATAGGGAAGTGGATGTGGTGGTGTATGAAATGGAGTTAGGGAGTGGGGATGAGGTGGAGGCAGCGGCGGAGATCAATCAAAGATTAATTGAGGTACAAATTCAAAGGCTTGTTCGATCTCCTGAGTAAATGGAGGAGTGCCTGTTGCTCGTGCATGCTCCTCCATTTGGCTGAGATGATGTTGGCCGTGATGGTAAGGGCCGAAGGAGAAGGAGATCACCTGAGGCATGTGGGCTTTCTTTTTTCAGCATCCTCCATGTTTCCAAGTTTTTGGTTAACGACCCAGCTAGCTTCTGCCATTTGCTCCAATGAAAGAAAGATTGCATTCAGTAAAAGCAGCTTCCTCAAGTCACATCACTGCTAATGAAATGTGTATCGTTAAGAAGAACATTGCCTTATCTTCTTCTTTTCTACCAATTAGAGCATTCCTTTCTTGCATTCAGTAAAAGCTCTTTCGTCAATTCGTCAAGGGACTATTCGGTTTATAAGAATCAAATGGAAACTATTTTGTTTCCAAATAAATTCACTTAAGAATTAAAATAGAAACATGTTTTCAAAATTTTTTAGCCTGTTTGGTATTAATGAAATCTGTTTCATTTCTAATAAAGAATTCTTTAGACTCCAAATGAATTCTTATATTTATATTTCAAGTTATTCATTGATAAAAGAAGAAAAAAAAAAAAGCATTGAATACCATGGATTCTCTATTTTGACAGAAAATCTATAGAAAAATTTAAAGAATGGAAAAAAGAGAAGGAAAAACGAAAAGAAATGCATATTGAGATATTTTTAAAAGATATTGAAATTATTAGTCTTTATATATATAATTAGGTAGCTTAATGACTGAGAAACCTTAAATCTTTTTTTTTTTTTTTTCATCACTTAAATCCACTCACTCATGTATCATGTAATTTGAATTTAAGATTTATTATTTATCATAAAAAAAATTATCACTAAAATAATTAATTGATTAATAAAAAACTTTAAATTAATCATAATAACAATAATATCATATCTAAAATTTAAACCCCATAATTGACTTTTGAAATCCCTTAATATTTTTTTTTAGGTATACCATATCTATATCACATCAATTATTCTTACTAGTACTACAAACTCATCTATTCAAATTAATATCATAATCTCTATTGGGTACAGTATTAATTAAGCCAATCAAATTGTGTAGATAAGATAATTAGCAAACAAATTAATCGTGACGTGAATAGGAACGATCCTTTTCACTGCACGGGCACTAGCAAGGCAGCGGTGCCAGGGCCCAGAAGTTGGCAGACATGGAAATCTTCAGGTCACTAGCCAGTATATATGTGTATGGTCAAATTTGTGGAGGTTTTACCTTTCACTCGCTCTTGGCTCTTCAAATCTTCGTTTCTGATTCTTTGTCACTTTGAAAATGAGCTTTCCCCTTCCATTAATTTGTCCTTTTATCCCTGCCTAGCTACTTTGAAAATTAGGTATATGAATTTCAACGCAAGTTTTTCATTCAATTTAAAAGCAATTGATAATATATAAAGTAATTTTTTTTTATATTTAATTCATATGTTTTCTTATATTTAATTCATATGTTTTCTTAATATGTTTCTTCAATATGAGATTTTTCCACCTCACACAACCTCATCAAAAGCAGGCTTGGCATTAACTTTGAGTTCTAGTATGTAAATCTCAACATACAACTTAAAAGAGATCCTTCCCAGGTGTAGGTCTAATTTGTTATAGGAATCTTGCACTAACAAATGGACTTGATA